TAGTCCTAAATTGGACATGGACCTTCCTTCTTTTTTTTTTTTTCTTTTTTTTTTTCCTCCTCTGCACTGTGAGCAGATATATTTGCTGATTAGAAATTTTAATTAAAATTTAGGCAGAGGTGCCAGGGCTGCCCAAAGAGTGTGGTTTAGAGACAGTCTTTAGTTGGTGTAAATTACTGAAGCCCTCTAAAGTCAGCTAATTTACTCTGATTTTCACCAAATTTGCCTCTTACTCAGTACCATTCAATGTATGCTTTAACAATGATAGAGAAAAGATCTCTGTTTCTTTGCATTTTTATTGCATGTCTACCATTGAGGTGTGATGCTAAAATACATTTTTTACTGGTTCAAAATCTACTGCAAATAAGGTCATTACATCAAAAAATCCCAGAATGTGCTTGACTGCACTTTTCCAGCATCATTTTGGAGAACCTTGACTACCTGCTTGGGATTTCAAAATGGATTAAAAGGAGACTCTTTTTTTGTATGTTGGAGTGGATTAAAAAAGAAGCCAACAAATCAGTAACATAAATCAACCACAAAGGACTGAAGCATTTTGTGAAACTGATGAAAGCCAATTGCAGAGCAAAGAAATGAACCAGATAAAGGGAAGTCAGGCAGACTTGGGTTTTACACAAAGGGAAATCCAGAGGGAAAGTCTTTGCTGTCCAAGGCAATGATCTTAATTCAGAACTGGAAGAGCTTTCTCTGACCGCACAAGTTCTCATGTGATAAGAAGTCATTTTCCAAAGAAATGTTAGCAGGACAAAGGAAAACAAGTGCAAACCTTAATGATAGAAACCACAGGAAAGATTTGACAAGCATGGAGAAAAGAACAATTGGCCAACGATAAATATTCATTGGGAGGGGTTCAAGTATGTCGTGAAGTTTATGATGCGTCCATCAAAAATGGACAATCTTCTCCCTTTGTATGCAAGGGAAGACTAAGTCAATGAAATGACAGAATTGGTACTGCTTTCCCAAATCCAACCCACCCTCTACCCCCATCATTTCAAGACCTTGATCTAAAACATTAATTTAGCAAGTGTTTTCGTTTAAGCCTCTAACTAGGCTCCCTGAACATCAGTACTCCATGAATCAGCTGGGCTTTTCATCAGAAATTCATGGGTACTTCACAAAGACACACAAATCAAACTAAACACGGGCCTGAGAACTCGAGATTTAACATAA